GAGTTTTTTCACTGGTAAATTGGGGGAGGGAGGAGGTTACTGAGCACCACCTCCCTCCCACCACCCCTTCCTCTCCAGCAGTGGGCTGAAAAGTTCCCAGCAGCACCAGTGAGCAGCTGAATGGTGCTTTGGAGCTGTTTATCCCAACAGAACGATTCATTTGGGCTAATTGCCGATAGTTTTTTAATGATTCCTGGCAGGAGTGAAGCTGGAGGAATTATTGCCAGTGATTGATGAATAACCTGGATAAAACTCCCAAAGCATCAAAACAATTAACTCTTGCATGGGGACACCTGCTTTTGTTTAGTGCCTTGCCCACAGAGAAAGGTGTGGGAGCAAGCTCCAAATGAACCCAAATTTGGGCAGAGAAAATACAGCATTTACTGATATCAGTGTCTCAACAATGTAGGCTCACTCCTCAAAAACCTCTCACAGGGAATGTTATTTAACTCTGTGCTGCTCTGCCATGATCAGGATCCTGTATGGAAGAGGGAGGCTTTGAAGAGCAATCACCATCTTTCAGAGAAGGGCACAGGAAGAACCAAAGGTTTGAAATTTAAAACTCCATTAATATAAACCACATCACGCTGGTTTGAGCTGTTCTCATGGTTTACACAGCAAAAGAGAACAGCAAGGCACACTGTGGATACAACACATCTTGATGGGTCCAAGATTGTGTTTTCTTACTGGAAAATATCTACAGGCTAACGAAAATTTGAGGGTAACTGTGTGCCATTTACAGCCTCTGTAATAGGGAAAAAGATTAGGTGATTTCTTCTGTTTGGAAATTGATGGTTTGGAAGGAATGGGAAGATGTAGGTGCAGCAGAGGAGAACTCCAGCAATAGCCATCTGTTTAAATGGATACACTAACTTCCCTAAGCTAGTATTTTTCAAATACCCTACCAGCAATATTTTTCATGATAGAAAAGCATTATAGTGAAATGGGAAGATGCTGAGGAAGTCATTTTTTCCAGCATGTGCTGCATTCTTTTAATACAGATTTTTTTATTGCCCGGAAATTGCTAACCAACGTGAATAAACAGCTGAACAAAGCGCTCGGCCCATCCTCACTAACAGCAAAACGTGGCCATCAAGGGAAGGGCCTTTGCAACAGAGAGAGGAAAATGTAAGCATTAGAGTCGGGTTCTCTTATATTGCAGAAAGCTTTATTGGCAACAGAAAAAAAAAATCTGCACACCACAAAGGTTTTACATTAAAAAAGCACCAATGTTATTCACATTTCTGCACAACGCCCGCAATTCCTGCTCCTGCCTTGGGCACTGAGCTGAACCAGGTGGTTCTTTGTTAGACTTTTTAGTAAACATTTGCAAAACATAACTGGTGTTCTACCCTGAACCCATGAGGTCCCTTCCCTGCAGCCCACTGAGCTGACAGTTCTGTCAAGCTCTGAAACTCTCTCCTGTAATGAAATCAGTGGAACAAGACAGCACAAGGATGGAGCAGAGTCAAGAATTAAGGCTGTGCAAGATTTCAGAATCCCACAGCCTGCAAACCGCTTCAAAGAGAAGGAGGAAAAAAATTACCTGAGCTAATTGTGAGGTGCAACTTTCAGCAGTGGCTGTGATTGCTGTCTGGGCCTTAAACAGGAACACTATGTCCTTATAATTCAACTTATCAATGATTTCATGTTCCCCTATTATGAAAGCTGTTTTGTTGCTGCATGAAACAGCCCAGGTCACTGCAGCTTTGAGGGTATGTTTCATTATCCCGTGAATACACCTCATTCAGTGTAACACATACATAAATAAAAGCAGCAGCAGTCTAGCACAATGCAACTGCACGATTTCTCCATCATGGTTTTGAAATACCTGCGCCCTAAGACGTTATTGATGTGGCAAACCCACCTGGTGTTAGCATGCATTAATGTTTCCTACCCTTCAGCCATCCCGAACCTTATACCGACATATTTCTTCTTTTTCTATCAGAGCCTTCAGCAAAGTGCTGCTGGGAAAGTAATGCCCTGCTATCTCATTTGGAGTGAGAGCCCCCTGAAGAGACATACATTGAGCATTACCAGTAGCACATGACTCAATGCCCTCTAGATCTCTTCATAAAAGGCGAGGGGAGAAAAGCCAAAGAGCCATTGCACGGATTTCAATAAACATTGAAGAAGAAAAGTAGCCCAGAAGGACAATTGAGTGTGTTCCTGTGCCCTTGTCAAAGGGCAGTCAGAGCTGGGTGCAGACACAAGCAAAACCAGAACCTCCTGTGAACTAAACAGCTTCATTTCTCTATATTGCTCCTTAAAAATTCCAACTGCCATTCCCTCTGGCTCAGATACTAACAGCAATGCCAGCTATAGGTGCCCACAGTTTGACTGGTTGTTGTCATTTTAAGTAGCACATCATTTAGCTGTACAAACACACAGGAAAGTTTCTGGTATGTCAGCACTGCCAGGGCCCTGGTCCCAGCAGCAAGAAATGCAGCAGAAAAGCCTCTTTTTTGTGCTTTTTTGTGCTTCTCAAAGCCGCAGGTGAGATTTGGGGTGAAGGATGGGTGAATATGTGCAGCATTTCTTGCTTCACCTGAGCAGTCATTTCTCTGCAGCAGGGGAGTGATTTCCCTGGCAGTGGGGATGGCCAGCTGTCTCAGCATCACCCAGCTGATTTTGGGCTTGTGACAGGCTTAAGAGTGGCTGAAGAGCCACACATAAACACGACAGAGCTTCACCAGGAGCTTTCCATCACAGTGGAAATGATGCCTCCCCCAGTATCATTATGACAGCGCCGTTTGGGCTGGTACAGATCAGCATCTGTCACTGTTTCCATTAGAATCTCCTATTTTCTCAGGTTCATAGCTGAGCCATAAAAAATGTACAATAGAGGCAGAAAGTTGACATACTAGGTCTCAGGCTGAGAGTGATCATTGTTTTTTCTTCCTTCCTTTTTAATCTGAAGAAGGAAATAATGTGTTTCTGCAGAGACCTGACCACTGCAATTCCATCTAGCCATGGATTTATTTATAGTGATAAATAAGTGATAGGACAAGGGGAATGGCCTTAAGCTGAAGGAGGGCAGGTATAGATTGGATATTAGAATGAAAGTCTTCACTGTGAGGGTGGTGAGGCACTGGCACAGGTTGTCCAGAGATGCTGTGGCTGCTCCATACCTGGCAGTGTTCAATGCCAGCCTGGACAGGTCTTGGAGCAACCTGGGATAGTGTAAGATGTCCCTGCCCATGGCAGGGGGTGGAATGAGATGAGCTTTAAGGTTCCTTCCAACCCAAACCTTTCTGTGATTCGATGATTTAGCAGTATCAATTGCTGCCTTACAACATTAAAGCTGTGAACATTGCTGCCATTCAACATTCAGTCTTAATGACTGCATTACTGCACTAGGGGTGATCAGGAATGATGTGTGGTAAGTGGGTGGAGGCTCTGGTCTGGAGGCTATTGCTGGAGAACAGGCCCCAGTGAAAATTAAGGGCTTTGGAGTTTCTGATCTTTGCCAGATGAGAAAATTGCAATTTATAGAAGTAACAGCTGGATATCATAGAAATGGAACAGTGCTAGGAACTAGGGACATAGAAAGCCCCTTTGGGATCAGGAGCAGAGGGAAAAGTAAGCCCAGCATTGTGGTTTCCCTAGTGAAACACGCAGCACAAAATCCCACACCACAGTTCAGCATCTGCACTCTGTGTTTTGACTGCTTTAGGCAAACTGCCACCCCATCATCTTGGTACTGCAGATTGAAAAATCCATCCTGTGTGGTAGTTATACTGGGATTCACCACCCAGATCCTGGCACTGCTGGATCAGTGATGAAGCAAGAGCAGCATTTTGCCAGGAGGAAAGGGTGGGCAGCAGTTTATCATCAGGGACAAGGGCAACACAACACTGTTCTTTCCACTTTAAGTGCCTCTTTGTTCTGTTCACACATTTTGTAAGAATACTTGCAGTGAAAAGTTTTTCTTTGTGCATTAGGATGATGGTGTAAGACAGTCCTGAAGAGAACAAACTCTGAAAACTCATTCTCCAAAACTTATATGCAAACTTTAAAGGACCTAAGAAATTAGATCATAATTTCTGGCCTGTTGAAACATGGATCCTGCTTCTGACCTCTTAAGCATCCACTTGAGTTTGCATTTTCAACAGGACTTTTCTGCCAGAGTGTATAGAAAGAACATACATGGGAAATATGTTTCTACATTAAGCTGAGAATTGGTTGTTTACCAAGACCTGTGTGTTTGACTCTGAAATCTGAGGCCATTCTCTTGCTACCAGAGGAGTTTTTTGCTTTCCAATTGCAGACTTGACTTAACTTGGTGTAGTCATGGGTCTCAAAACTGAGCTGTGCTGCATGGCTGGGATTGCTTCTCACTGCTTGAAGGCTGGGCCTGCTAAACATAGGCAGCTTAGCAGCTGAAACCAGCACACCAAAAATAAGGTTATTTTCATTGTTTGTCTCAAACTAAGACCAAAAATGGGCAGACTAAGTTTGGATAAAAAATGGAAAAGGCAATACCAGAAAAGACAAATGTACAATAAACATTTTAGGACACAATTGTACCACCAGAAGCAGCTGAGTAAGACAGGATTTTAAGCCTAAATCAGTTGGAAAGTTAAGTGGGGAGAAAAACAAAGGGGAATGGAAAATGATGCTGTTCACTCCCTCTTTTAGCAGAGGGGCCACTTTGCTCTTCATGTTTTCCCCTTTCCTCAGGCATATTTTCATCTAACAAATCTGTGAGCAGAGGGTCTGTCATCTTGTACACATCACAGCCCTTGACCTGTCCAAAGGCTTATTCATTTTCCCAGTGGAAACCATTTTCCCTGTTGATCTTATTGCATCTTTTGTAAGCTATTTTGAGTAAAATCCTTGAGCCTTCGTGATGCAGCAGAAATTATTCATTAGAGTATTCAGGTGACTGGACTGGTTCAGACCCTGTTGGTGTAAAAATGGTTATTAATGGCTCCTTTTGTGTCTTGACCATTTTATTGTCACACTTCACCCAACTCTGTTTCTCTGTTTTGAAACAGGTGTTCTGTGATGCTAATCAAGTCGTACAAGCTGCAGATGTGCTGGACTGGGAAGACAAGGAAGCTGCAGAGACACTGGTTGACAATGTGGTCCATTCCAGGATCATCAACCCTTTACGCCTGTTTGTTAAGCCATCTCCAGTACTGAAACATGGCCAGGTGTCCTACTCGGACAGCATAGAAAACTTTTGGGATTGGTTGTCCAACATCACGGAGGTTCAGGAATCTCTGGCACGAACTAAACGCAGACCTATAGTAAAAACTGGGAAATTCAAGAAAATGTTTGGATGGGGCGACTTCCACTCTAACATCAAAACTGTTAAGCTGAACCTCCTGATCACAGGGAAAATCGTCGATCATGGCAATGGGACCTTCAGTGTTTATTTCCGACATAACTCCACGGGTCTGGGGAATGTTTCTGTCAGCCTAGTGCCACCTTCCAAGGTGGTTGAGTTTGAATCATCTCCACAGTCGACGCTGGAGACCAAGGAATCCAAGTCCTTCAACTGCCGCATTGAGTACGAGAAAACAGACCGCGCTAAAAAGACTGCCTTGTGCAATTTCGACCCTTCAAAGATCTGCTACCAAGAGCAGACTCAAAGCCATGTCTCCTGGTTGTGTTCCAAACCGTTTAAAGTCATCTGCATTTACATCGCTTTCTACAGCGTCGATTACAAACTGGTGCAGAAGGTCTGTCCTGATTACAACTACCACAGCGAGACGCCGTACTTGTCCTCCGGCTGACTAGAGATACAACAGCAGTCATAAAAATAAGCATTTCCATTAACCTTTTGGAGAAGAATAGGTTTTCCTATCAGGTTAAAAAGTCTTTCAAAACTGTAGCTGTGTTTGTGCTGTATCGTAACTAATCCAACTGTTTATGTAACAATCCTTTTCGTTTGAGACCGTTGCATTTTAGCTCTCTCATCTTTTATAAGGGAACTGCCAGGCAGGCATGTGATAAAAACCAAACAAAATTACGTCTGTAATGAATACTGATCTTGAAAATCACTTTTTTAAATGACTTTGTGGCAGAGAGGTTGCCTTTTACTTGAATTGGACAGCACTTAGCAGGATCCCATTTCTCACCAGGAACTTGAGGTGACAATAGAAAGAACAAATGATGCAGCAACCTCACAGCTGCTCAGACAGAACTCCAAATAAACAGCTCTCCCACTGATTTCATAATATTACACAGAGAGCTCAAGGAGTCAAGTCTAAATACAAAGAGGATGTGCTAATTTTAGGACAAAAAAAAGGAAAGGAATCTGCATTTTTATGAGTTGTAGTAGTTGTAGGTATTCATTGAAGTGAAGAGTGAGTAGTTCTTCCTTCAGACTTCCTACCCGTGGATATGCAATGATGTAATTAGACATCAATGAGCTTTAGTTTATTAGACCCCCCAGGTGTGCAGGTGTGGTGTACATTCCTTCCTTCCATGCTCACTACTCATTTTGTTTCTTCTCAAAGATTCACACACACACACCCATACTAGTTTTACAGCAATAGAGAATGTAGAAATACTTTGGAAAAAGATAATCTCTGTTTGAGTCAACCTGGTCTAGTGGAAGAGGTTCCTGCCCATGGCAGGGGGTTGGAATAAGATGATCTTTAAGGTTCTTTCCAACTCAAACCATTCTGGGATTCATGAAGTCTGAGAACTGTAACAGAGATTGGCTTCCAGGCAAAGGAAGCAATTATTTTGCTTTCCAGCCCTCTTAGCATTGTAGTGCAGCGAGAAAAACACATCACAGCACAAGGATGCCACCTGAACAACAAGCAACTTTCTGCCTCATGGCACTAGTTGTCTTCCTTAGCACTGCACAAAACAGAGAAGACAAATAGAACAACAAACATCTATGCATCTTCACCTCATAAACAGGTTTCAAACAATAGAAAACTATTCAGCCAGGCTTTCCTCTGGTGCAGAAAAGGATCCCTCCAGCACAGTAAGTTATAACAGAGGGTCCAGCAGTGGTTTTGTTTCAACAGGACAGTTGTTGTCCCACCACAGCCAATAGCAGTTGGCTCTGGTGATGCAGCTTCCAGCATCATTCCCTGAGCTTTCACAAGATATTGATCCTGCTGCTGCCAATTTGCTCTCATGGCCCTTTGTGACAGTTCAATGTCACAGACCCACTGGAAAAAGCTGGCTGAGGAAGCACTTTTTATTGCTTCCAAGGTGCAAGAAGTTACACACAGCTTAAGTAAAACACTATTAAAATACTCCGTTCCACTGATGTGCACACAGACAAGTGACTATGGCAGCTCAGAAGGACTCACTCATGAGATTAATTCTGATTTCCTTGGTAAAGTCTCACCCCAAAAAACAACTCTGTTAAAAATATACAGCTGGCTGATTGGTTTTTTTCCTTTTGAGGTGACCAATTTATATGTGTGGTTTAGTTTGATCAATAATTTAAATGTTTTCCTTCATCTCATTTCATACAGAGTCTCTCCTGGTCTCCAATGATGTTTTTGAGTTTGCCTATTCCTGTCAATTCCTACAAGTTGGTCTACTTCGTAATCTGTATAGCGTGTCCTCACTCCAGCTGTACATAGGCTTGGATTTATTGCTATGAGTTCAGTGGTTGGTGCTTTTGTAACTTAGCTGTAAGCCATGATTTTATTGCCATGTATTTTTACTCAGCACTGTAGGCGATTAAAAGAAAACCCTACATGCTATTTATTGTAGAGTATGTGGAAACCATGTATGTATATACACTTAAATATGTGTACATATACAGCACATATGTGTACATGTATTTGTATGTAAATAAAGAGAGTTTACTAAATCTGGCACTTGCTTGTGGCCTATTTGATTATTTTTTTTTAAGTGTTGTATATATAAAGACTCAAAGTAAAACTAAGGCACTGAAACACATCACTGAACTTTTTCCCCCCAGCTGGAATTTGTTTTTCTAGGAAATATTTAAATGTGTGCTACAGTGAACTGTGTGCAAGCCTAGGCAGAGAAGGTTCAACAGCATTCTGTGATGTTTGAGAAATGAAGCATGTTTTGACAATCATGCACTGCTTAATAATTGCACAAGGTACATTCAGAGTGAAGGGGTTAGTTTAAATTAGACAACATTCCCAAGCAGGAACACGCTGGGAGACAGAACAGGCTGTTGCTGATTCAGCCCTTGCTCAGCTTCTCATCCAGCTCCGTTGCTGGATTCTCCTCTTCCACAGACATCTTCTGGCTGCAGCACAGTCACCTCCCAGGCTGAGGTTTCCAGGCCTCAGGAAGACCAAACAATGAGAGAAACTTGCACCACTCTTCTCTGAACAAGCTCCCTCAAGGAGGCAGCCTGGCAGCTGGAGCAGGAGGAGAAGAAGGGAGAGAGCCTTGGTACCAAACTGACTCCAGAGAACTCACCACCACATTATTTCCAATCACAATACTTTACAAATCAGCTTAAAAGCAGAACTTTTTTTTTTCAGATCAATTTTGAGAAAGTCACTGTGAAAAAAGCACTTACAATCTTATTGCAGGCAAAATCTGATTAAGAAATTATTTACACCTAGCAAGGCAAGCAAAACACAATCCAATCATGACAGACTTGATTAGGTCAAATTTCACACTGCCCATGTAAACAGAAGTAAGTTAGATTTCATTTCACACAGAACAGGACCTATTTTAAAAACCATTTTCCTGTACAACAGGTGACTATTTCAGACAAGTTTCACATCTCAGTGATTGTTCCTCTCATGACTCTTATTCAAAGGATTTTAAAACAAAAAATTGCAAAATTAAATACCATTTTTTGAAAATGTCCCAAGTGGGCAATGACAATTTATGACTGCGGCAACTTAATCTAGAAGTTTTTAATATACAACCTTATTTAATCCAAATCTGAACAGGATAGTTTTGCACACACTTGTATCAGTGCAAATATCCTGAGTTGGAAGGGACCCACAGGAGTCCAGTCCAGCCCCTGACCCTGCACAGGACAGCCCCAAGAATCCTATCATGTGCCTGAGAGCATTGGCCAAGCACTCCTTGAACTCCTACAGGCTTGAGGCTGTGATCACTGCCCTGGGGAGTCAATATTAAATACAGTAAATAAGCATTTAAACTTCTTGCTAAATAAATTTCCTATTGTTCTCCCCATCCCATGGATATACATAAAAACCATCCCAATGAAAAGCTCACAGAGATAAGCAGCAGCTTTTTCTTTCTCCATACAGCACGGTGGGAACCATGCACAGCCATATTTTTTGCATCATTTCAACTTGACAGAGAAGCAACTTGAGTTTTATTTTCCTTTTCCCCCAAAGAATTGCATCCTTTGGATCCTCAGCCTATAGCCCTCCCCAGTGGTCAGATCCTGCTGTAAGCTCCTCAGTGACTCGGTCACTGTGGCACTTGCACTGGGGACTCTCAGCCTATGTGACAGTCCCCAAGCCCTAACACGGAGCCAGAAAGGCAGAGAACAGCAGAGATGAGTGTTGTGTGCCCTGAGCTCCTTGGGATTGATACATTTTCATTTTAGGGACATGCACTAGGCAGTACTGGACAAACAAACACCTGAATGATACCCTGATGCAACTGGAAAAACTCACAGCAACTAGGCAAAGGTGCTCTGTGCAAATCAGCATCCTGTGCTGCTCTTCTTTTTAAATTGTAATTCAAGGACATTAGAATTTGCTATTTGTTTTATGCTCTGTTGACCAGCATAATCTGGATAATGTTTTATTTATAGTATAATAATGATTCGTCATTAGCACTGTCTCTATTCAAATATGCACAGTCGAAAAGACAATAACGAGCTGCAATACACTAAGTAGCTGAATGAAACACACATCAATCAAGTAGAGTTTTAGCTGTAGGGTGTCTCATTTGAAAAACTAGACTTCTCTCCCTGGTGAACAACTCTTGCATGTGTCCATCAGATGAAGAGTCTTTCTTTGGTTTAGAACTAGCAGATAATGCAGGTTTATGGAAGAGCAGAATTGTTGTGAAATATCCCACTTCATGTCAAACCACACTTCCCCTGGCAGGTTGTTGAGCTACAAAATCTGTTCAGATTTGCAATCAGGAGTGATGGGAACTGAATGGATTCTGCTGGACACAGCTGGCAGTGCAGCACCTTCCTGCCAAGGCTGCTGTGACTAACCAGCTCACACAGCTCTCCAGCCCAAAAAACCTGGGGGTTGTAGGTCAGATGCAAGTCTCCAGTTGCTGGTACTCTCAAGGAAGAGCCCCAGCCATCTAGACTGAATTTTGAAGGAAAAACAAACAAACAAACAACAAAACCCCAAAACAAAACAAAAAAAAACCACCAAAAAAATGCTTTTTTCTGAAGATGTAATTCAGTCTCCAACTCAGCACAAATCCAGCAGCAGCTGCAGCCCAATTAAAAAGCAATCACAGTCATGGGAAAACAGTTTACTTGAGGAAGAAATAATTTTACCTGCATAAACAGTGGTAGGACTCTAAAATAGGCTCCAAAAGAAATATCAGCACCTTCCAATTCAACAGTAATGGAACAGCCAAGCAGGTCAGACAGACAGTCTCTTGCACTCTCTCTGGTTTTGTCCTCAAGTCAGAACAGAGTTTAAAAAAGTCCCTGCTTCAGGGACTTTTTAATGTACTTTCCTCATTTTCTGGAAAATGCACACCCATGACTCCTCACTCAGACACAGGAATCTGAGTTATACTGAGGGCTTGGAGGAGATGATTCCTCTGTGTAAGTCAAAAGGCTCAACGACCTTTCCTAGGAAAGGAGCAATGTGGG